CAGCACTTGCACTTAAATGAGCTGACTTATCACTTTTTTTATTGTGAGAGAATGGATTCATACCACCAGGAACCATGGGGTTTTGCAGTATGTCATTGTTAAAAGAACCTATTATAGGATTTAGGCTTGGTTGGGCTACTTGGAGGGCAGGCATGTGAAGGCAGGGATTCACTCTAGATTGGAGATTGTCAGAATGCAGAGGCATTTGTACCCTTGGGTAAAGAGTAGCAGTAAAAAACAAAGTTTTTCCAGAAAATAAAAAAAGAATAGCAGTCATTCATTGAGTAGCCATTCATTCCTCATTTGAGAGGGATGTTTGGCATTTTGTGGTTTGCACATTGATCTTGTTCTTGTTTTTGCTTAGACAAATTAAAAAGTGACATTGCTTTGTCTCATTTCATAGTGGTCTGACAATAAATTTGCCTAAGTTTATTATTCTTTGAGATTGTCTATTTCTATTAGAACTCTATAGCCTATAGAATGCTGGAGTTACTTTTTTTCACTCTTATTTTTAAATTCATCAGAAGCAACTGAGCTTTTGAGCAAGAGAAGAAATGTGAGTAAGTTAAGGAGAGAGGTTTTCTTGCAGACTTTTGTATCTGTACATGCCAAACCTGTCTCCCCCAAGAGGACCTCTCCACCTACCTTCTTCACTGCCTTCTTTACTATCAGGGACAGGAAAAAGTAATGAGATGAGGACCTCAGTCCTGCTAGAAATATAGCTTACCTTTCCGTTGCCTTTGTCAGAGGGACAAGATCAGAGATGTGATGTGAAGCCAAGGTCAGTGTAACAGCAGGGGAAAGGAGCCATGTTTTGTAAGCTGTGCTCATTTAGGAAACTAACAGAGGGCTCACCAGAAACAGAAGACATAGGTGGAGTTTTACTTATTTCTTTTTCTTGTATTCATTGTGCACTAGCACATTTTATCAGGACCAATGTCTGTCATCTATTATATAATATATGCCTCCAGTTAACAGGAGTAAAGAGAATGATAACATACCAAGACAGGAGAAAACCAAAACATGGTAATAAATGCATGAGGAAGTTCTCTGCCTTGATGCAGGGCAACAATAGTCAGTGGAAAACCGTTTTAAATAAAACTGAAAGCAGAAGCAGCCAGTGTCATGGTAGAACATATATATAGTCTTCTCAAAGAACTAAATAATTTAAAGGAAAAGTCTCCCCACTCCATTAATGCACCCAAATGAAAATTCATTTTTCTTATCCCAAAGCAGAATTTAATAAAATTAAAAAAAAAAACTGAGGCACTTTTTACTATCATAATTCTTTTTGTACTTATAAAATGCAGTTTCCTTCAAAATATTGTTCTCTTCAAACCACAGTTTAGACCTTTAGGAGAGTATATTTTAAATTACTAAGTGGAATAATCTCATTCATTAGGCTGTGGAATAGTACAGATGTTTGTTTAATGAATGGAAATATCTACCTTTAATGCTCTTAAACCTGACATATACACATGCAAACAATATATATACTGTTACTTAGGATTTCTGAAAATATCTTTGAATAGTTAAATAAATTATTTAGAATTTTTATTCACATCTGTATCCTGGGACTGAGAAATACTATGATGTTTAGTTGGTGACCTCTGGTGGTTAAAAATGATAATTATATACAACGTACAGCACACAGTGATGGACTTTGCTGGAGAAAACGCAAGCCACAGATTCCATAGAAAGCACCTCAGTCAGAGTTCCTGCTTGTAAGCAACTACTAAAAAAACCGAGGTTACTTGAGCAGAAAGGTGCTATCCCAAGAGAACAGTGTTACCACTTAGCGGCAGAACCATCAGTTGATTCCAAGATCAACCACTCCTATACACTGGAATTTCTTTTTTTCAGTGCTGGGGTTGGAACTCAGAGCCTGTACCTTGAGCCACTCCACCAGCCCTTTTTTGTGATTTTTTTTTTTGAGATAGGGTCTTGCAAACTGTCTAGCTGGGCTGGCTTCGAACCTTGATCCTCCTGATCTCCGCATCCTAAGTAGCTAGGATTATAGGCATGAACCACTGATGACTAACTGGACACTGGGATTTCTGTCGTCATTAGCAACATCACCTCTCAGCCTCTTTGAATTCCAGGATCTCAATCCAAAGTCTAGAATAGGATGTATCTAACTGGTCTGGTCCATACCAGCATCTAAACTTCATGGAAGGGTACAAAACTACTTGAACATTTTGGCATATCCCCCCAAGACACATGTGATGCAGAATTCACTATAGAGGAAAGGGTCTATATCTTGAACTCTGAGTCAAATAACAAATAGCTACAATAAAGCCTAGTATTACTGTACTAGGCATAAGGAGAATGCAATTCTGTTTTAATGGTATAGGTGAATGTAAAGGTGTTAATGCCATTAAACTTTTTGATAAGCTTATTCAACAATAATTCTTTTGTAGTTGTAGTTCACTCAGTCATGTTCTCTTCTTTCTACTTTCCAGAAGTAATTTATTTCATAAATTTTCATAGGATACTCTTTATGAATTTTTATTATCACTAGTTTACATCGCTTTTGCTTTCATGTAATGTGACATCAATGAAGCTCTCCATCTCCATCTGTGTCAGTTTCCTCATTTGTAAAATGGAGATGTAATTATAAGTCTTGCATCATTATTAAAAGATTAAATGAGATATTTACAATGCACCCAAGTACAATGCCTGGGATTTGGTGAGCTTTCCAAAATGATAGTTAATATTATTTTTTGCCTATTTTTGATAGTGAGCTCCTTGAAGGCAAGGACCACATCTTAATCATTTTTTTATTCTGGTGCTCCACGAACATTTGTTGAATTCCAATGTTTGTCCCTGAGTAGCAGCCTGGTCACCCTCCACTTGTTTCTATATCTCAATTTAATTATAGATCTCTTTAAGACTTCTAAATGCCATGCACTTTTAAAATATAAATATATAATAGTTGTATTCATAAAACATTTGAGTATTTTTCCTCAAAATACCCATAACAGAAAGTTAACTCTCTTCACAGATCTTCTGAGACACACTAAAGAAGAGGTAACATAAGTGTTTTATCTTACCATGAAGCTTTTATCTGAAGGACAATTGAGGCTTTGTTTTGTTCAACCAATTCACCTTACGTCATGGCTGTTCGTAATTTTTATTCTGAAGTCTATCTCTTCTCTAAAACCTGCCCGACTTCCAATTTATCAAAGGAAGCCTTTTATAGCTGCTTGGAATGCTCCAACAGATCAGTGTTTGATTAAATATAATGTAAGACTGAATTTGAAAATGTTTCAGGTGATTGGAAGTCCACTGGCCAAGGCTAGAGGGCAAAACGTCACTATATTTTATGTCAACAGATTGGGATATTACCCTTGGTATACATCACAGGGTGTCCCCATTAATGGGGGTCTCCCCCAGAACATAAGCTTGCAAGTACATCTGGAAAAAGCTGACCAAGACATTAATTATTACATTCCTGCTGAAGATTTCAGTGGACTTGCTGTTATTGACTGGGAATATTGGCGTCCACAGTGGGCCCGGAACTGGAACACGAAGGATGTCTACAGACAAAAGTCAAGAGAGCTTATTTCTGATATGCAAGAGAATGTATCAGACACTGATATTGAATATTTAGCCAAGGCAACCTTTGAAGAAAGTGCAAAGGCTTTCATGAAAGAAACTATAAAACTTGGAATGAAGAGTCGGCCCAAGGGCCTTTGGGGTTATTATTTATATCCAGATTGCCACAATTATAATGTTTATGCCCCAAATTATACTGGATCTTGCCCAGAAGAGGAAGTTTTGAGGAACAATGAGCTCTCTTGGCTCTGGAATAGCAGTGCTGCTTTATATCCTTCAATTGGTGTCAGGAAATCCTTTGGAGACAGTGAAAATATTTTGAGATTCTCAAAATTTCGGGTGCATGAATCCATGAGGATCTCTACCATGACATCCCATGAGTCTGCTCTGCCTGTATTTGTCTATACAAGGCTGGGGTACAGAGACGAACCTTTAGTTTTTCTTTCTAAGGTAAGAATCTCTTTGTACCCTCTCTCTCTTTTTTTTTTTTTGATTTTAAATGTACCCTCTCTTAAAAGAGACATTTCTTTATTAATTATGCTCTTTTATGAATAGCAATTTGGCAGGCTTTTAGATAGAGTTTCTCCTGAACTATTGATCTACTTATATTCTTCATTTATGCAAGCTGAAACTTTTTTTTTGAGACAGGACCTCACTATGTAGTCCAGGCTGGCCTAAAATTCTCCATTCTTCTGCCTCAACCTTCTGAGTACAAAGATTAGAGGTGTGCACCACTATGCCTGGCTGCAAACTGAATTTTATTTCTTATTTATTGTTATTCCTTTAAAGAGCATAGTAAGGCAAGAAGGGATTAAATATGACACTGGCATCTACTATATTTCTGCTCTTCAAAATCAATTGTACTCCTTTAAGATAGGCCAATGGGCTGCTGTGAAGGCTGTTGAAAATTGGAGAGGATATTTTATTTTATTTATTTATTTATTATTATTTATATGTGCATACAATGCTTGGGTCATTTCTCCCCCCTTCTCCTACCCCTTCCCTTACCCCCCCACCCTTTCCCTCTCCCCCCCATTCCCTCGCTACCCAGCAGAAACTATTTTGCCCTTATCTCTAATTTTGTTGAAGAGAAAGTATAAGCAATAATAGGAAGGAACAAGGGTTTTTGCTAGTTGAGATAAGGATAGCTATACAGGGAGTTGACTCGCATTGATTTCCTGTGCATGTTTGTTACCTTCTAGGTTAATTCTTCTTGAACTAACCTTTTCTCTAGTTCCTGGTCCCCTTCTCCTATTGGCCTCAGTTGCATTTAAGGTATCTGCTTTAGTTTCTCTGCGTTGAGGGCAACAAATGCTAACTAATTTTTTTAGGTGTCTTACCTATCCTGATATCTCCCTTGTGTGCTGGAGAGGATATTTTAAAATGAAGTTGTTTGCTTATACATGTGAAAGAGGAAAGACGTTCCTGCTTTTGGTTTCACCGTCTCACATATAAAAAAGAGGAAAACAGTGTTTTCTTTTAAGTGCATAATACCAGCTTTGTTAAAAGCATAAAAGATGTACAATAATGCAAATACATTTAATGCTACTGAGCTATACACTCAGAAATGGCTAAGATTGAAAGTTTTATATTGTTTTTTACCACAATTAAATTTTTTAATATTAAAAAGGTACAAGGGAGTTGCAATTTTGCTAAAAGTTGATTAATCTATAGATTTAGCCTTCTGAGTTATTTCCAACTAATGGGAAATTGGAAGAATGGTGTAGGTTTCTAAATTCAATACTTAAATCATTATTGAATGTTTTTGAAGCCATAGGTTAAAACTCACAGAAAAAAAATTTTATTCTGTCCATTTATTTTTACTCAAGACATGTATGCTGCCCAAAACTTCATACATACCATGACAATAACCTTTAAAACAGGTGAACTTTCAACCAGATATTCCTTCCCTTTACTACTCTAGCTACTTATATGAAAATTCCAGGAAAAGTAACGGATACCATAATCTTTGGATTAGGATAATTACTTGTAAATTTTCTACATTGAGACTTAAGAAGTGCCAAGGCATTCCTATTTGTGGTGCACCCATGTTTTAAGATATGACTCAGGCTGGGAGGGTGGCTCAAGTGGTAGAGCGCCTGCCTAGCATGTGTGAGGACCTGAGTTAAAATTCCAGTACTGCCAAAAACATTTTAAAAGAAGACATGACTGGACATCAGAAGCTTAATAGATTTTAATAGAGGCATTTCTTCTTTCTCCACCATTGTACATTTTACAAGACTGTGATAAAACAAAGATGTTGTTAGTGGCAGGCATCCAAAGAAGCAGGCTTAGGAAGACCTCAGGGGCAGGTTTTACTGTGACTGGCAGGTATCTGTGGAGTACAATAGAGAGTGAAGCATATTCATCAGGGAGAGAAATAGTTGATATGTGTGAAGTATGGAAAAAGCTATGCCTCTGATGCTGTTCATGAGGTAAGGAAAGAAAACATTCTCCACTGTGAACTGACATTCATACCACCCAGAAAAATAAGCATAAATCACTGAATGAAAAATGATAGAAATATCAGAACTCTCTGGAAGATGTAAAAAAGTTATCTAAAGCTTTATAAAATAATCTTGACTCTGGTACTGAGAGTGAAATACACCTTGTCCTATGTATCTCTTCCTTTTCTACATTTAGTTTGAACCAGTTCCTTTCTTTAATGATAATAAATTTACTTTAGCAAGAAATAATAAACCTTAAGAGACAAAGTCCATGTTGAAAGATTAGTTAGACAACTGCTACATTCTGCAGACCTTAGGTAAACTTCTTTCTTTAGTAGTGATAGCCTCAGAAATACTCATTTCTCTCTCAGGAAAGAACAAATAGGTGGGCCTCGTCTCATTCTCAATCCTCTTCTTTTCTGAAAGGCAAGCCATTTCATAACCATTAAAAACATCAGCCTATCCCCCATTGTACTTTATCTACCATAATAATGTGCCCATAAAATAAAAAAAGCTCATATTCATTTGTTTCAACTCTATATGACTATTAAGGGCTTCCATTTCTGACTTTTCTCAGAGATGTCTGCATTTTAGAATACACACACACACACACACACACACACACACACGCGCACACACACACCAGGTAGAATTAGAAAGAAATTTACCAGTAAGTAGCAAACCTCTTAATTTCCTTGGAACTCAGTGTCTTAATGTTAAAAAAAAATGGGATAGTGACCTACCTTACTGACCTAGCAGAAGCATTATGAACATCAAACGAGCAAAGGTGTGTGAAAATTTGAAGCACTCCAGAAATATATGTGGTGTGGCTATCTCATTTTAGTGAGTAACAAAGCCTTGAACTCAACCATGGGTTACCTAAGTATCCCATAGCTTGGGGGAATAATACAGAAGCAGTAATGCCTCATTTCACGTGGAAGATTGCTTACACTACCTACGTATAGATGCAACCTTGATGTAATCTGATGGTATACTTTACAGAAACAGTGAAAGGAGTTTTCCTGGCTGTAGATTTAAAGATTTTTATCCCTGTAAATAATTAGTGTTCCTTCTGGAAACATGCAAAGAGAGATGGCTCCAGCACAGGGGACACCTTACTAACATGCACTCTGGTTAGTGTCAGGGACCAAAACTCCAGCGTGGAGGATGAATCCTCTGGGCATCCCTGCCCTCAACTACTGAAATGTTGACTTGAGCCTGGGTGGGAGCAAGGTAACCCCATGCCACACTGTGACCTGGGATGCTCATTTTTACTATATTTGCTTTGTTTTGTTATTTCTCTTTTCATATGACATCATCCACATGGCCCTTGCTCTCAGGGGATCCCTTGCCCAGTACCAAAGGCATCTTGCCTATGACAATCATAGCAGGGTAGTCCCTTGCTTTTCAGATCCCTAAAACATAGAAGCTCTGTGATTCATTTAGCACCCTCCAGTCTGTCAGGTGTCAGGGAAATGATTTGGTGAGAAATTTTCATTGTATCTGCTACCGCCTCATCTCTAGTTAACATGTGCTTGAAGACTTGACATTTTTAATCAGTCCCAATAAACTCTTTCTGATAATGACACTAAAGGATGCATTGGGAATAAATTAACATCAAATCCAGAGGTTGTGGCTGTCACCACAAACACCTGTAGCTTCCATAACTACTGAATATGGATCAATAACCTATAATAGAAAAAGTAAATGCTGTCCCATTACTCTTCTGATAGCAATGTGTTAAGCTATTGGGGACTTCTGTCCCTCTTGAATACTATGTGACTCTCACATCTTACTATACTCAGGGGTATCTCAAAGTGAATGCAGTGAGAGGTTCTGCTTCCTCATGTTTTCACCCACAGTCAACAGATATGGACTGTGTGGTGTCTGTGGTCTGGATCCTGCATAGATGTCTACTTCTTTGTTTGTCTTCATCAGACAATTTTCAAAATCTCTTCATTTACTCCATCCCATTTGAGCCTCACAGAAACTCCCCTTCCTGTTATGTGGGCTCTAACTTGCTCAGCCAATTATATAGTCACAGGGAATGGAAACAGATGTGAACCTGAAAGGGAAATTAGTTTAAATCAAAATATGCTCACTTTTTGGAAATTATTAGAACACAGTCCAGAAAAAAAGAAGTTTAAAAACTGACATTTTAAACCTTTCATTTGGTAGACTACAGATGTGTCAGATAAGGAATTTCGTCTCTCAAATACTGATATTATTAAAAAGTGACCAAGATGAAATACAGTTTAGAGATTTTGCTTTTGTCTTCCACCAAGTCACCATTTTCTACCATAGAACTGGTGAAAATCCATCTATGGAGTAAAAGATTAGCATTTTGTATTCTAAAGAGAGAGAGAGAATATACTGTAGTTTAGTAAAATAGGAAAAAGCTATGTACATTGAGTTCTTATTTTTCCCCTGAAATGCTCTAAATCCATGTTAATCTTTAAATACAAAACAATAATTTTAAAACTATAATCCCCAAGCTCTTTTTGCTGAAATCTTGTTTTCATCTATCTTATGTATATTGGGGAAAATCTTGGTGACTTTACCATTGCTAGATGAGTCATAAAGTTTATTAAATCAAGTACATTGCAATTAATCATAGATGACTTCAGAGACCAAATATAAAAACTAAACAAAATCAGAGCCTAGATGCCTTTAACACTGTTCCCTTGCCTTGGTTTGGAATCAAAGTGGTGAAACCCACCTGAGTTATTGTGGAGGTGAAATTCCACAGGGACATCTTACAAAATAGATGAGAAAACTGGCTAAAAGGATTGTATTTGGAGAAGGAAAACTTTTGGATTCATTTACAGCTTTTGTACATATATATCCCTAATCAACCTCAAATAAACAACTTTTGATGACTATTTACAGTCTAATTATCTTCAAAATAATCTTGGCTGGAAAAATGTAACTTTTTCTTTAATAACATTTATATGCTGTTACACATGATTATAGACTTTGATGATGTTTCAATTTATATTTGTGTTACTTTAAGAAAGTGGAGAATAATTTCTATGGAGTACATGAGCTCAGACTCTAATCCTAATACCTGATGGGTTAATTTAAATTCATATTAATAATGAACTCTATTCTCTTCCATCTAGCAAGATCTAGTTAGTACCATAGGAGAAAGTGCTGCCTTGGGAGCTGCAGGCATTGTTATTTGGGGAGACATGAATTTAACTTCCTCTGAGGTAAGTAGTACTTTGAGTGTTTATTGAATGTTTTTAAAAGTGTTTGCTGTATTTCACTGTTGAGTTCACTTTAATCAATGACTCACGGCCCCCATTGTAAACCATATTAAAAGTCCAAATCACTGGCTTGTACATAGATAGGGTTCAATAAATATGGATAACTTTTGTGAAGATAACATTGACGTTTGCTGAATATTTGCTTTGTCCTAAGAAAGTAGTTAAGAGATTTTGTTTGTTTTGTATTTGCTCACTTATTGGTCATAGGAGATATTGACTATCATCTTTACTCATAGATGAGAAGACCAGAGGAAATCTTACCAGAGTAACAGAAAGTTAGGCTAGTTGATGATGAAGATGGCATTAATCATAGACCATTTGATGGTGGAAACTTTGCATTGAACCACTAAGTGTCATGCCCTATTTTGAGAAGCAGGAACAGATGGTAACTCTTTAATCTTCACATTGAAGTTATTTTCACTTTGCAGGGATATCATCCTAAAATTAATAGCATTTAAATTTCTCTCAAATGAGATACTACATACTTCTCTTCCAAGTTTCCCTAATCTGCATTAATAATAATCTCTTCCGTATTTCCAGATATTATTATTTATAATAACACACTATAACACAGTTTTCCTCAAATTATTAAACTTTTATCCTTAGTACATTTGGTTAATTAATTTTTTGCAAGCCTATAATAATCTGACATTATTCTTAGAATTTAGCTGGCTCAATTTGTTGCTACAGAGATTTATGACTAGGTTCACTTGTGAGAATTACATAGAAACTGAGAAACTCAATCCCAACTTCCAATGTATGATATTTCTACTCCAGCCTCCATGTGGCTCATGAGGAAAGCTTCATCAGGAAGTGGTGTGTGCAAGCCAGGTGACTTTTGTTTGGAGAACATAATAGGAATCACACACACAAAATTATCCAGTCATTCTTTCAATCTTTCCTGTGTTTCCATTATGTATAGAAGTGTAGAACCCAGAACAGTTGATGCTCAAGCATAATCAGCAGGAAAATCCAGAAGGCTACAGGTGGATGTTCTACAATAAATCAATAATGTGATGTTTCAGATTCTAACACAATCATGTATCACATACCTGAAACACGGACTGAGTACAGCAGCTCAGGATGACTTCTAATTTTGGTTTGTTCCTTTTCTTTGCATGCCCATTAACTTGGGAGCTAAAACAAGGGGTTTTAAAAGTATAATTTGGAGGAAAGAAAGGACCCCTTTCACTCTGGGGGTCATTTGCAGGTTCAGTTTCTTCTGACTGTGACCTATCTCCATCTCCCTTTTCTGACCCATGGGACCCATGGGTTATAGTCCCCAGGAGCCTAAGAATTTACCAAATGGAGCCAAGCAATATGGTTTCAATCAAGTCCAAAGTACTCCCTTATAAGTTTAGAAGCTCTTACTATACAAGGACCAGGAAATGCACTAAAATACATTTGTTTCTACATTTCTAGGCCAACTGTACAAAGGTGAAGCGGTTTGTGAATTCTGATTTAGGGAGCTACATACTTAATGTGACAAGAGCCGCTGAGGTATGCAGTCTTCACCTCTGTAAGAATAATGGGAGGTGCATAAGGAAGATGTGGAAAGCTTCCGACTACCTCCACTTGAACCCTGCAAGTTACCACATAGAGGCCGCTGAAGATGGGGAATTTATTGTGAAGGGAAGAGCATCTCATGGAGACCTGGCAGTGATGGCAGAGAAATTTTCCTGTCATTGTTACCAGGGATACAAAGGGGCTGATTGTAGAGAAATGAAGGAGGCTGCTGGCTGCTCTGTGGTTCCATCTGTTTCTGGCTCACTAATAACAATATGTCTACTAGTTTTATCAGGTTATTGAAACACTCAATTGTGAGATAATTGAGTTGAAAAGGAATTGTGCAGTCTGTGGAGTAGACCAATAGGGAAGAGATGAAACTGATGACAGTTTTTTTCTCTTATGAGTTCATTTGAGAGGTATTATAAGTAAACATTATGCATGTCACTTAACATAAGCATATTACTTTATTTGCCACCAATTTGGTTAGAAACCAGACTGGGTAGTATAAATCAGTGCACTTCTGTTCCTTACTGGAATATTTAAATTGTGTATAAACTAAAGCTAGTATATTTTAATTTTTTATGAATGTACACACATGAAAGACTGCTTCTTCAACTAGCAACTTATTTAAGACCAGATTAGTAATCATCTGATTCAACAGAAGGAGTCATCTCAAGGCATGAATGACCTGGTCCACCAGAGAAGAACAAATGCAGATTTTTTGTCTCAACCTCAGATTCAGCCTAGTGCTCTGCTCCCCCTCCCAACTGGACTCAAGGAGTACAGAATCATTCCTGACATGCAAAGCCATCTTTGCAATATAGTGCCTCACTCACCTTGACACCTTCCCTCACAGACTCTGCCAGTCTGAATACTACGAAAGGCTTTGGGATAATATTCATGCTTGCCTAGGCTGACAGTGCATAGATCCAAAATCTGGAACCATGTTAATAAGGATACTGTTAGTGACTTTTGCAAGGGAAAATTATTATTAAGAAGAGATTAAATAAATGACATTTAAGAGACTTAGAAATGCTGTTGAAAAAGATGCCAATGAGAAATATTAGTTATTTTTGCTTCTTCCTTCCCTCCATATATGAATTTTGAGTAGTGGAGTGCTTGAATTGTGGTTTTACTACTTGTCTGGTTATAGGATTCTGGGCAAGTTATTTATATTTCATTTTGTTATCTGAACTTTGGAATATAATTCCTACCTCAGCAAATTTTCTTGAGCAATAAGTGCAATGTATATGTTGGAGATCCACACCAATCTCTTAATCATCAAAGCAATGGAAAAGTTCAAGATAAAACAGTCTTGGGCAATTTCCTCTTTCTGATGCCATGTTCTATGTGTAGTCACTTGTGCATTGTGTTCTGCTCTTGAAAGACACGTTCAGTGGATATGGGTTCCTTCTACTGAAGACAATCTGATTGGAAGATGATCTGAAGAAAGGTATGATCCTGGTGTAGAAAGAATGATAGTTGATTCCATACCCTTTTATACCTTTCTTATTTGTCTATGAAACATTTGCAATCCAGGTATGCTCTTTTCAACTTTGCATCTCTTCTGGTCAAAAGTTGCTGACATTTTTAAGGTCTCATTCCTAAATGTAAAATATAAATGAAACCAAACAAAAAATATTTTTACAATATCATAAATGAGAGGTATCATTGCAAAGATTGATTTTTTGAAATAATTTATTTTCACATCAGCATATTGTGATTATGTTATAGAAAATTTATAAAATGGGAAAAATATTAAAGGAAATTGCCAATAATCACTACAACATACACTAGTAACTTTTGGTGTAGTTCTTTATAACATTTCTTTTAAAGACTTTTTTACATTGTTGCAATAATAATTTATGCATATTTTATAAATGAGAGATTATACTGGTATCTAGTGTCTTTTATATAGATTTAATGACAAGAACCAGGTAAAAAATTGGCATACAAAAACTCTAGTAAATGTTATTTTTATCAAATGCTTTGAATATTAGTCTTTATAAAAGCTAGGATGAGAAATATCTTTATCGTGAAGTGGAAGAAATTATGTGTGACTCAGAGTGATGAAATGACTTAATTATCACACAGAAGTACCCAGACCTCAAACTTTTTCTTTTAAACCTTCAAGTAGTTATCTCTATCACATTACAGCAGAAAATACAAAAGAGTTATTTGCTCTTATTTATTTGTTTTTTATTAGTTTACACAGAGATATAACCCACAAATACACCGACTCTCTCATCAGGCATTCAAGTTTTCTTTTTTACTCTATGGAAGAAAAACTGTTCAATTAATCATTCTACTAGCAATTGCATTCATCTGATATCTTAAATATGTGAATATCATTTATCCATAATAGAAACTAGGCCACCTTTGAAAAATTTCCATTTCAAGGTCTATAACAAGAAATGTACAAGATGAGTCTAGGATAACTAGCTATGCCACAAAGCAAGGATCCAATTAATGATCACTAAGATTGCATCAAAAGTGCTTAGGAACCAAGTTAAAGATTCACCTTCTATATGCATTAACAGTCGTAATTTAAAAAACTACAGAAACAAACAATTCTAATGTTTTCAAATTCCATGCATTTTCCACCATGTATTTATGCTTAAATCCTTTTTATTGGTTTATTTTCAGTTTGGGGCTATTATTTTTGTGAAATGGCATTGTACTGCAATGCCCAGGCTGGCCTCTAACTCCTGGGTTCAAGGAATTCCTCCCCATCCTCAGCCTCCTGAGGAGCTAGGACTATAGGCACACATCACTACCTAGAGTGTCTTGGCTACTATTACTAGTGCTGCTATAAACATTTGTGTACACATTTTTTGCATATATATATATTCAAATATATATACATTTCAACTGAGTATATTCTACCAAGGAGTAGAATTCCTAATTGATAGAAACACTTGTATACCTCTATTTATCACAACACTATTCACAATAGTCAAATTATTGAATCAACCTAGCTGTCCATCAACAGATGAATGGATAAAGAAAATGTGACAATATGTACACAATGAGGTTTTGCTCAGCCAGTAAGAAGAATGAAATTATAATATTTCCTGGATGGAGCTTGGAGATGTTGAATGAAATAATCCAGTCCCACAAAGATCAGTCTCACAAGTTTTCTTTCATTTGGGGAAGCTTGGGGAAATCAAACCAAACCAAAATAAAACAAAACTAAATGAAATGAAATGAAACACCCAAGGTCATGAAAGTCAAAGGGGGACTACTAGGGAGCTAGAAAAGGAAGGGAAAAGGGGGAAAGAAGAGGGAAAATAAGAAAAAGAAATAGAGGGGTGAGTATGATCAAAGCACATTATATGCATGTATGGAAGAGTCATGATGAAATGCCTTACTATGTACTATTTAATATATGGAATAAAAATGAATTGCTATCTGATAGGGTAATTTTATGTCTACCTGTTTGAGAAAAAAAGCCATACGGTTTTCCAAAGCAGTTTTACCATTTTACATTCCTCTACATATGAGAGCTTAAATTTCTCTACACTCACCAATAGTAGTTAAAATATCTCAGTGGGTATGAAATGGTATCTGGCTGGGTTTTGATTTATATTTCCCTAATGACTATTCATATTGAGCAGCTTTGCATGTGTATGGGTGAAATCGTGTCCCTCAACCAACATTCATATATTAACATCCTAACCCGTAGTACCTCAGAATGTGATTGTATTTGGATAAAAGTCCTTTTAAAAAGTAGTATGGTTCAATGATGTCATGGGGTTGGCCTTAATCCAATATGGCTGGTATGGGTATAACAAGAGAAGATTAGGACACAGGCATTCAACAGTGGTAAGGCCATGTGAATACACAGGAAGAAGGCTACTTACGCCTAAGGACAGAGGTCCTCAGAATACCCCAACTCTCCCATCATTATGGCCTTCTAGTCTCTGGAAGGGTAAGGAAATAAACTATTGTTGAATCCATCTGGTAGGTGTGTGGCAGTGTGATATAGTAGCTGTAGGAAACTAACGCATACATTTTTTTTCCCATTTGTTTATTCATATTTTTGCCCATTTTAAATTGTCTTTTTTATTACTGAGTTGTATTCAGTCTTCGTATATTCTACACAAAAGTCCCTTATCATATATATATAATTTTAAAGAACAAAAGTCTTAAATTTTGAGTCTCTACTTTCTGTTGATTTAATTTTCCTGTTTTTTTTTTTCTTTTTTACTAGCGGTTTTAGTGTCCTCTAGATTGGATTTGTACCAACTTCATCAGAGAGTCATAGAATCTAATATTTGGAGGTACTTTAGTTCCACTTGAGGGTCACATGCTTTGTGAGGATTACCAGGGATTGCTGGGAGATTGGTCTCAGTTCAATTGTAAGAATACATAGCTGGATGAGGCCAGGTCTTTTGAAAGCAGCAGTGATATTGGTATGCATCCACACAAAATCCTGCTTACTATTTGAGCTCACAGTTCCTAGTCCTGTCTGAGTCACAATTCTGGGACAAGGGATTGTAGATTTCCCCAGATCTATGAATCCAGCATAACATTAAAAGTATGTGTTGTCTAATATCCAATTGTTTTGTAGAGCCAGGGTCTTTTTGGAATATCTAGTCATCATACTACCAGAGGCATAGTCAAGAAATAAAATGTCTTTCCTATATAGTTAAACCAAACATATGCTTGCTGAATGCTTACTTACTACTGTGTGTATATTCTGCACTATACTGCATTATACTAGATGTAGTATTTTGAGAGGGTACATGGAATCTTGTAAAAATAAAAATTGACTATAGAAAATGTTAATTTAATCATTTTAGGTAAATATGTATATAATTTCAAACAAATGTCTCCATTTAAGGGTATGTATAAATGCTCTTTGTGTGTTTGTCAAAGAGAAAAAGATTTCTTGGGTTGTGAAAATAAATGAAAAGTTACCCCTCAATTAAGTTATAGTGGTATTTCAATTGCCCAGATTTTTTTTCAATTAAAAAGAAGAAGGACAAGAAAAGGATAGTTCTGAGACATTTTTCAGCCCAGAAATTTAAGAAACAGTTCTGATTGTAAGTTAGATGTAACTAGATATAATTATAACTAGATATTCTATTTCTTGGTATTCTAATACCTTTTATTCTTAGCCTCTGTTAGCTCTTAACCATCTCGTTCTTAATGTGATATTATTAAACATTTCCTGGTGAATGTTACTTAAATCGGATAATCCCAAAGAACTCCCATTTTGTCAGCTGACTGATTACTGTTCTAGTTTTCTGTCAGCCTACTTGATTATATTTCCAAAACCTACACTTAATGACAAC